AGTGTGAGAATTGTGACAGTGTCCACTGAGCCCGAAACTGGGGTTGAAAAAGTGAAGAGAAAATGGCTTCAACGCACAGGCCCTCAAGTGAAAATATTTTCTAAAGTCTTATATATGGTGTCTGAGTGTGAAGCAGAAAAGTCCGTGCACGAATGCGATCTGTTGTCTGGGACCTTGCTGCGCCTGCTGTTGCGGCTCGTCGTCCGTGTCGCTCAGTTGATAGAGGCGGGTTGCTGCAGCTGCAAAGAAGTAATCGATGGCCCCTGAGTCCTGCATGCGGTTCAAGGTCTGGAGCTTTCCCGCCTCCCGTCTCGGCACAGTACATGTATGATGACGACGATGCCTTGGAAGCCCCAGACAGAGGCCTCTCCTCAAGGTTTGCGCCGCCTAGACAGTCCGAGGGTGCTAAGAAACTTCGAGGGTTATCAATCTCCTGTCACTGGTGTGAGGGTTGCTGCTCATCCCATGGAAGCAGCTGAAGCTGCGACACGCCGTTTCACCACATCAGATCCTTACGCAGCGAAGCAACATGCCCAGAGCATCGACGCTGGTATAGCAGTGGATGATAGAGTTTATCAGGCGCTTTTCTAGGGCGCTGGTGGTCGTTCGAACTGGGATACTAGGGCGCTGATAAGGGCGCTTGTATCGGGCGCTTTTAGATATATCACATGTATATATATATATATATATATTTATTTATTTATTTATATTTATACATTTTTGCATGCATGTATATATTTCTATGTATATATACATGCAAATTAACACACCCATGCACACATGCACACACACACACACACTATTATGAATATATATACACACATATATATTCATAATAATAAACAATTATATATATATATATACACATCCATGGCACACATACCAAATAGAACATATAATATATATATATTTGACTTCATTGTACATATATATATATATGTATATGTGTAAATCTATATATACATATATATATATACATATATATATATGCATGTTTATGTAAAGGTGTATGTATATGTATTATATATATATACATACATACACATAGATATATTATATGTGTAATGTTCGAAATTGGCCAAGCAGCATATACAGGAGCATTTGCTCCTCTGCAAAGGCTCCTAGGGCTGTTGAAACTATGCTCATCTTTAGGAGCAGGTTGCTTTATATATACATATACGAGGAGCAACCTGCTCCTAAAGGTACATGCTATATTTAATTAATGTATATTTCTATATATATATATATATATGTCCGAAAAAAAAGAAAAGAGGTACGAGCACGTGCAGGGCAGACTGCAAACTGCAAGATCTAGCACGGTTCCTTTTTCAGTCCAAGCAATCGAGGTCGGAGCTCTCATACTTGAAAGCGAAAGAGATGTGCTGTTGCTTTTCGACATCCCATACTCTCACTGCCTTGGCATCCTTGTCTAGGGAAACGTCTTCAAGAACACTCTCCACGACGAACCACACTTCCTCGTACTTGTAGAACCGGTTGGAAACTTCGTGGTGCCCCTCGAGCACGTAGCAAGCCAAGTCGTACAAGAGCTCCTCTCTGGATCTCGCTGGCTCTTCGTCGACGAGCTTCAACCAAGCACCCTTCTTGCCCTTAGGGTCCAGCTTCTGAAGCAGCACCACTTTGCCCATGGCTGCAAGGATCCTACGTATAGGACAGCATGACAAGAAGCTTCCAAAACTAGGGGGCTCAGGGTTCAAACTTGCAATATTTGGCTTAAGCATACATACATATAAACGCTTAAATGTACATATATCAAAATATATGAGCTCAACATATGCATGACAGAGTCTTTTTTTTAAAATGGGCCCTCACTCGAGAGCATCCGATGCCAAAAACCGGAGCAAGAAATTCCTTGCATTCGTGGCCGATGTGTTCTGACCGCGTAGGCCAGCAGCTCGCCGGCCACGTAGCTCTGCATCTGGGCAGTTGTGCTGTAGGCCGACAGATCCACCGAGCCCGACATGGCGTCGGCGATGGCTGGTCCGTTTCGGCCCGCGTGTAAATCCAGCAACGCGGTGATGATTTTTGTCCACTTGGGAGCTGTCGTCGTAGCTGGAAAGAGCCGAGGAGATGGCCGAGGTCACTGCGGCCGTCGTAGCGTAGTTGGTCAGCTCGCCTGCCACGAAGCTCGAGACCTCGGTTTGGTTCTGGTGGGGCACCAGCTCGCCGGCGATGAGGGCCAGCGCCTGCGCC